AAACTGTGATATTTATTGTCCTATTTAACTAAACGTATCATATTATCATTGTATAAATCTTCAGTTATGAGGTTAAAGCGGTAGGTAATTCCCCAGAATTATTGGCCACAGCATTCATCACTGAACATTGGATGCTGATCCTCACTGTTTAACTCAACTTATTTAGATGAAAGCTTCCGGTCAAGCATCCACGCCATTTGGTACGCCAGCGTGTCACGTTCGTTCGTTCTTGCACGATCCATAGCTAGTTAAGCAATCCTCTCGCATTTCGATTCGATCCCGAAATATAATTCGTAGTTTGGACGATCAATTCAGGTGTTTCGCTTTGCCTTTGGTCCACGCGGGACGAATACAATAGAAGTTGTGCGTATTAGATCTTGCGTTAGTATACTTCGTACTATCCATGAACGTCAGCACCCTCAGTCTCCAAACTGGTGAGCCCTACTGCGAACTTCATCTTTGGTAAATACACAGACAAATCCGGAGAGTTCGTTCCATTTTGTATTTGATCTTGTACTATTTTTGAACTATATATATTTCGCCAAGAGTGACCATACGCCTAAGGTCATCTGTATTCGATCAACTAGCAAAATTATTCAACTCACGCCATTTTTGCCAGATAATGTGGAGTCATGGTTTCAGATAGCCGAGTTTGATTTCAGTGAGCATGGGATCTCTGACCAACGTTCACAGTTCCTTGCAGCTGTCCACGCTCTACCGCGGAAATTAAGCAAATGCTTAACTGTGCATATGTCAAGCCCAAAGGTAAGTAACCGGTATGAGTTGCTTAAAGCAACCCCACAAGAGAGAAACAACCTCACGGATTGGCAGCGTCTTGACAAACTATTTAGCAACGTGGAGTTAGGTGATCAGTCAGCAGCCAACATGCTAACGAGAATGAGGGAAACTATCGGCCAACGTGGAGGACTCTTCAGAGATCTGTTCTTATCCAAATCGCCGCGGTGAGTACAGGATGTTCTTGTGACACCTCGTAATGTTATTATAGGCGACTTAGCTGCATCTGCCGATAGAATTCTAGAAATAACATACTCTTGGCCTTTAAAAGGTTACCTGGCATCTAAATGCCAGGACCACAATGGCTGAACACAAAATGGTCCTCAGTTAACAGAAATGTGGCTTCAAACAAGGAGTGTGCAGCATTCCAGTGAACCATGAATGGCCCAATTGACACAGAATGTAAAATGACACGTGAAGTACAACCTTATTGTTTGGTGGTACAGTACTAGACGTAATGGTCACATAATTGATTTTTCCACGTTTTCATCCGCATTGCAAACCAGAGACGTTTTTTATTAAATTGTTGAGGATAACTCGAAGCCAAAGGTCAGATGGGTTTTAAAAAGGTGTGACTGAAAATAATATGATCAGGAGACATTACTATCAGACTAAAACAAAAACTGACGGGAGAAAATCGAAGGAGTATGTGATTTGACCGAGAGCGGTGACTTGGTAGCCTAAAGTTCATACAGGTAGTCTTCACAATTGCCTCCACTTGATTGGTTATTGGGCAGATATCTTCGTGTTCAGTGGCATTTGTGAGAAATTCAAGGGATTCCATTCCTATTAGGCATTTGTGAATGTTAATTATAACTCTTGCCGACGCACTGTGCCGAAGGTCAAGTCTAGGTGCTGGAAGTGGGTTCTCCTGTTTGGCCTTATGGTGAGTTAGTCGTCCAGGTACGTGTATACAAAGTGAAGACTGCAGATTGCTTCACCGGAAATGGAGTGTTGCATGGCAGGATTTATTAGCTTATGCTCGCCAACATTTCGCAGCTACTGCTTGTGCAGAGAGAGATCCACACCAATAATCATGGTGGCCGCATCGACCAGAAATGAAACCCAGATGAAAGAAGGTTAAGGTCCGATACTAAGTTCTAAGGAGCTTCTGCCATAAGTTGTCATTTGTTGACTATTGGCGTCGCTTGATTCGCAAGACGTTGGCCGAAGATTCTTTTCTGTTTTGGGTGGAGTGGGGCCGGCTTCTGCCCCATTATCAACCAGGAAGCGTGTCCCGGAGGTATGCTATATGACATATAAGCGGCGACAAGGGAGTTGCTCGCCAGAGACATTAGTCACAATTACGTTCTGGCTAATAAGTTTTCCCACTGGCTAATCTCAAAGGTGAACTGCCACCACAACGTCTTTGACACCAACAAATTCTAGGATGAGAGTTTATCAACTTCTATCGCCTTTTTCCGAAACTCGAGGAGGACTTATTGCAGGAATGAGTCACATGATTTTGGAAAGGACTCGTGGTTCTATGCCCTTTCCTGAGACCACACAATTCTTTGCAAATCCATGAGCCATCGAATCTCGACTACTCACTGGATGAAAGGAGGTATTCCTGAAACTGAGTAGTAGTAGTAGTAGTAGTAGTAGACAGTTTGGTGGAAACACCCGTGAATTGTCTGGTAGCATCGACAGCTCTGTCAGCTGCTCTGATAGCTTCATTAAGAGAGAACTGTTAAGGGGTGCAAAAACACCTTGTACCGTCTGCGGCAACCACGGTTGTTTCAGGAAGGTTCCATTGGTTTTAAAGTCTAACAAAGCATTTGTGTGGGCTTACGGATTCCAAGTCACATGTCTCTCAAGAGTTCTTGAAACTCTTGTTGGTCAGTAAGTACCACTCCCTTGATAAGAGATGCCTTTAAACTATCGTATCGTATAGGTTAAAGGAGGGTTCGCCAGAAATACCTGGAACATCTTCCATCATGTTTTCTAGAAGACTCGCAGTGACTAAGTTAGCCTTAGTTTCTTTTGAGTGAACACGGCAAAGAACGAAGGGGGATTCAACGCGCCAGAACCATGAAGACGGTCAATGTGCTTAGAAGGCGCGCAGCAGCAGTGTAACTGCCATTTGCGTAGGTGAGCAAGTATCAGCTTTTGGAGGACAAGCTCTATGTGTAAAAATAATAACATACCACGGTCATGAAATGATAAAAATGCACATATAGAAGAACTTGATATGCAAAAATGAAGGCAGTCCAATCAGTGAAGAAGTTAATGGTAAGTTAATTCTGCTTGATCTACTATTTTTAGCCTTGAGGTTATTTTGGTGCCGTGGAAGGTGAACTGCAGAGCATCAACACATCTGTTTAAAAGACCAGTACTCTCGTAGTAAGACAAGTCAATGTTTAACTTAACCCACAAGTACCAATATAAAGTAACCTAAATATTTCGGTTTGGTATTCATTCTAGGCTAAAAAGGTCGGTTGATAACAAAACGACCTCCAGAGAAAATGCCTGCGATTTTCCCGGTAAAAACCACTAAAATAAGCATACGGGGCTTCTATGCATGTGATTTGCAGTGCATTTCATGAATTTAACGCATTTACAGAACATACGCTGCTTAATTTTCACTAGTAGGCTAGTATTACACGTTCGGTCAGTTTTCTCAACCAGACCAAGTAGCACAGTTTGCCCTAGATACCATTCATGTAGATAAAGCAATTGGAAACTTAGCTGATATGTCATTTAAAATACGTTTCGCAACTTCTACTAAACTGTTTGATTCCTTAAATGAAGATTTCAAATAATCGGAAGGTTATAAACCAAAAGACATTGACTAGCGGTGGCGCTATGTCGTGGAATGGCAGAAGTTGGAATTCATGGACTGGTCATTGGATCGGGTTCCAGTGGCTTAATGGTCTACGAGCCCGCCTTGTAACCAGAAGGTCCTGAGTTCGAACCCCGATGGGTGTGCACTGGAGAGTCCGAAACTGGGACAAAACAGCTGCGCAGTACTCCCAGATTTTCCAGTGGTTCTCTAACTGATGTCAGCTCATGATGAAATCCTCCAACTAAATTACATTTTAAATCGCCCCCACTTTCATATTGATCTTCTGATCATAACTTAGTTAAAAGCGTAGGGATGACAAAGTGTGCTGATATTTTTTGTTATATATCCTAAGCAGGGTCTTATAGCTTTTAACAAACAAATAAACCTTAATTAAATTCATTCCTGAAATTTTTTTCAAATTCCTTAGAATTATTTAAACGTCCAACGCTAAATAATCTTTTTCTGCAAAGTTTGACTTGAGGTGACTTAATCTTTGTCCATTTTCGATGTAAATTGGTTATGCATTCCAAGTTGTTGAGAAATATGATATCTTGGGATAAGATACCTCTGCAAACAACGAGTATCAACAGATAGAATTCTGTGGGACGAATTATCAAGCTGACGAGCTCGAAGAAAGCTTTCTATGAATAAATGAAATTCACAATAAGCAACACACACAATTCACAGTGCAGAATTTCACCATAGTTTCCTTCGGAGACCGAATTATTCAGATCAGAGTATATGATCCGCCTGATCAAGAAATCAAACATATTTGCGAAAAAGTATATACTACTGATTGACCGGGATGAGTAGTTGAATACCACTCTTATCAACCAGCAGTGCTTACTAGCCAGGCTATCGAAGTGATCTAAACACCGAACGAGAATTTCACTAGTTTCCTGCCGACCTCATCAGAGGTTTGCCCGTGAATGAGTGAGTGAGTGATATGCAACTACTCACCAAATTCAATCAGTAGTATATAGTTCTACGCATTTATGCTTGCTTTCCTGATTACCACTTTTGCCGTATCAAGCAGATCACATATTGCGGTCTGAATAGTTTTAGTTTCCAAAGGAAACTGCAGTGAAATTTCACCTTCTCAAAATGCCTTTCAATTTGCAAATTCCAAATTTAATTCGCTATGTGCCAGTTCCTCCAATTAACAGGCTAGAAATAAGGTGGTTCAAACTGATTCGGCTCTTTGAACCGAGTCGAACCTGATACACAACTGATGAGCTCGCCCGTAAACGAGTGAAAGGATAATTCTGTCTTTACACCACTTCGAGCTGGCTAGTAGGCCCTACTGGTTGATGTGAGTGGTATACAACTACTTCTCATCTGAATGAATCAGTAATATAGAGGTCTACACGCTTTCTATGAATAAGCCTGCGCTTGGCACGAAATTACAAGACAAGCTTTCAATTAATATGCGGGAAAGTTATCGAAATTTATTAATTCTATAATGAGTATATATATACATATATATGTATATATATAGACTCACATGTATATATTATATATACACAACTAGAAGAAAGTTACCAATGGTATCTTTTCTTCAAAAACAAAATAGTACTTAAAATGAAGAAAATAATAATAATGATAGTAATATTTCATAAAAGGAGTAAAACAAAATTTCTAAAAAAAAAGACTTTTTCCTTAGTCAACATGTTTGTCGTAGAAGTACTATTGATTTGGTGGCGTACCTACACAAAAGGAGCAGTGAGCAATACACTTCAACAGTAACAACAACAAGCAGCTGAAACGATGAAAGTGACGATTACTACACTACTATTACCGCTAGTATGAGATAAAGTAAATAAAAAGATAAGGTAGTCCATGATGATATAAAAAAGCATAGAAATGGGAAATTACAATTCTATTAGCCAATGAGAATATAACTAGTTGGTAGAAGTAAAATATGTGAGGGGAGTATGATGTGTTCGTGCGTGTGGGTGTTGATTTCATCCTTCATTACAAAAGTCACGCATAAACGCAAACCTACACCGTTTGCTATCATTTGCAGACAATTAAGCATAATAAATCCGTCGAAATGAACACAAAAATGATGCAAATAAAGTGTTCAACAGTAATAATAATCTGTCTAGTAATCTACCTGGTAACACATGCAAATAATAATCATTAGTTAAAGAACAAAAGTACTTTCTTACGTCACCTTCGTTAATATGAAGACAGCACAGTTGCACACACCCACACATACTGGAATACACTCAATGAAGGTTGGTCAATAAACAAAAAGAAATCAAAATAAATGAAAATACATCAATAAGAGGGGCAGGAGGGGATTTATCTTCTTCGAAGGAAACCAGAAAAACAAAACAAGAGTGTAGAAGAGGGAATAATTCGTTTTTTGTGTTTGTTTGTTTATTTGTTTTTTTGTCTGTTTTTTCCTTCTACACGCCACCACCACTTCTGTAAACAGGAATTCGTGTACGATTGAGTACTTTCTTGAATGGTGAATTCACAACAACACCAGATTTTACTGCACTCATGAACTAGAAAAAACCAAACAAAAAAAATTGTAGAAAGTATACATACTCATATATATATACATTTAGTGATTACTTCATTTAATGATGTAATAGATGAATACTATTCACTTAGAATGATGTCCAAATATGGGAATTATACTTTAGAAAAGAATAATTTTAAAAGAGGCTTCTTATGTATATCTTATCTTGAATCATTCAATCCTCAATAAATGCACCATCACTTATGCGGGATAATGACAAGTTTATGCACCATTGATGAATAACACAATGACTAACAATGCATGAAACTTTTTTCTTTAAGCAGATAGATTGTTAAGTTTTAGGTGGTAACAAGATAATTGAAAAAGAGTATTGATTAAGCTGTTTCATGTTCAATAATCAACCAGTTAATAGTAATTAGAGTTGGATAAACAAACTGTCACTTTAATAATTATGAGATGGTGTGGTAAATGGATATGACAGATGTACTGTGGCATGTGCTACTGAAAGATCAGGGTCTTTGTTTTCAAAGTAAGGAGTTCACTTCCGTTTTGCAACAACTAGGGATTAAGAAGAATCGAAAAACACCGTACCATCCACAAACGAATGGTGTGGCTGGCAGAAATAACAGTACACTGAAGGAGTTGCTGACCTCGAAGGGAAGTAACTAGAAGACAAAGCTTCCATTGATTCTACTAGCCTATCCCGCTTCCACTCAGAAAACAACAAAGAAGTCACCATTTCAGTTGATGTATGAGAGGAAGCCACGACTACCAATACACAACAAGACTTGGCCCCTCCACCAAGAGTGGAGTATGACGAGGCTGCGAAAGGAACGGAAAGAAGTTGTCAGGAATGTAAAGCGTAAACAGAAGATGGACGCCGCGAAATCTGAACAGGGAGAAAAGATGGGATGCATAACCCTGGATGTCGGTGGTCATGTAAAGCGTAGGGAAAGGAAATACACGTTTAAATGCAGGTAAGGTTCACGAAAACGCCTTCCAAAGTGAGAAGGACCATACAATCTCCCGTTTATACCATCAGGAGAGGAGACAAACAGAAACGCGTTAACGCCAGCCAGATCCAGAGATGGATACAACGTCGTAAGGAAGCCGGGACCAAGGCACAACAAGAATAGATAGAACCAAGAAGGTTGGAGCGGCTTCGCTCGAAACTATTTGACGGCGGTACGGGTGTACGTGTGCTTTTGATAAGACCCGTCAATAATACATAAAGAGACTTGTCGCAAGAATATCAAATAGCGGAAAAACAGATTTCACCTCAAAGAGAGCAAATGGACCAGGGCTGCGCGAAAACATGGGAGACACTAAAAGAAGAAAAGGAAACACAATACGAAAGACAAAATCGGCACAACCCAGAAGATTTGTGCAAATGACGATCCTAATATAAGGTATACATAATTTCCCTATATGTGTAGGTCAAATTGCCAATAAACATTCCTCTATCAAGTCTCCTGTCTTCTCCCGTTATCGTATGACACAAATATCTTTGGAAAACAGTGATAATCCCTTCTACGTGAGAATCAAACAGTGACTGTTTATTCAATCAGCAGACAATGGTGTTTTATTCTCTCTGATTACTGCTCCAATGAAATACATTCAAAGAATGATTTTATGCTAACAGGAAAGAAAACTACAGTACCAATCAGTGAAATGAAAAACAGTGCTTCAAATGTGTGTACAGAAAGTAAAAAGAAACAAAAACAGAACAAATATTTAACCTTATGGAATAATCTTTTGTAATGGATGGTGACTCGTAGTATAGAGTCTAAGACGCTGAACTCGTCCTGTCTGGGGCTCGTCATCTAGTTTTTGATTGATAGTGTTTCCATTAAAACTTGAACCCAGCATACATCGTTTCAAACTCCAAAGCGTTATCCACTAGACCACTTGACTTCGACAAATAATAACTGATACTCAATGGACGAGAGGTGGCTCTCGTGATCTAAATGGCCTAGTGGATTATGCTTGGAAACGACGGGTACTAGGTTTCACATTTCAAAGGGAACATCATCACTCACTGGGGATTGAAGGTTGGCTTAGTTGATGAGTCCCAGATAGGACAAAATGTGCATTTTGAATTACACTAATGGTCACCATCTACTGCATAACATCACGTTAATCGTCGAAGCGTCCATACTAAAAGTCAACATGTCAACAGAGGCCCAAAATTTAGTAAAATCGATCAACTGAGGAAAACAGGGTTGAGTTAAACACATAGGATAGTGTCAGGCGAATGACGTGCATACATTACTATTTTTATTCTGACAATATAACTACTGTAACTGGAATGAATTGCTTATTTATCAGAGCTGAAAGTGTCTTGAATCAAAATGTCTAAATCACCAACAAATTACACGATGATTGATTTGATGAGCAAATTAGCAAATGAAATATCACCGGTGGTTGAGATAACCAAACAAGTCAATTCTGACAGCTGCCTGATCTTTAACATGTAGTACCTTTTGAAACACAACTACATATAGAAAAGATGATCATCTTACTTAAAGCAAACTCTACCATAAAAGGAGGCGTTTGCAATACTTATGATTAGGCAGTAACACGTTTCTTCCCCACTTTACCAGGCATAATGAAAACCTACATTATCAGTTGTGAATGGTTAAAACTTGATAAGTAATAGTGGTCTGGTAGTTTTCAGTCTGATAGCATGTAAATATACAGTGACATAATCATTCTCAAATGTGATGCTAAGTGTATCTTCTACAAAAGGTGTGGTGTTTCGTGGAAATAGCGTTTACCGTTGTTTGTTCTGCAGAATAAAGTTTAGAAATATGTAAACAAAAAACTGAATCTACCTTGGTATGTGTTAACACATCAAAACTGACTAGCGAAATGCATAGCGGCGGAGAATAACACTGATGAACAATAATACGAGCATTATTTAGTGTGACAAGCAATATCTTCAAAGTGTGTGTGTGTGTGTGTATTAAAATGTAGAAAAGCAAGTGGGAACAGACAGCTGTTTTCCTTGATATCATATATCTTTTAAGAAAAAGTTGAATTTCTGCATTATAATATCTTAAGAAGGTTTCAATTCGCTTGTATTGCTGGAAACTTTTCCTATTTACAGGTTTGATCACGAGCTGACGTCAGTTGGAAAGCCTCCAGAAAACCGGGGAGTACAGGATCACTGTTCCGTCCTTGTTTGAGACTCTTCAAGAGTACTCAATCCCAAGTTTCAGGCCAAGAACCTTCCCGTTACAAGGCGAGCTCGTAGACCTCTTAAGCTACTGAGACCCAATTCATCCGTTTACAAATTATAAGTGGAGCTTCACGATTCAGCAGTCAATTTCTCCTAAGATACATGGAAACAAATCTACCCGTTGCATGGATTTAAATAAGTTCGCAAAGAGACACACAAAGGGAAAGAAAGAGGCTTAAGTTCCATAGTACATACATGAAAGATTTATCCTATTCGGCATACAATGTTCCGGTATATAAAATTATGCTTATGAGTTGGATAAGCGAAATCAATTTCTTCATGGTAGATTACAGTTCTTGTAATTTATAGATACCTCCTCTCTTTCTCTTCAAAACCGAATTTGATAAGCTTCTGGGAATGTTAGGTGGGCATACTGTGTGGTTAGTTGGTGAGCACTAACTAGTTTCAGGGGGAACGGGATTAAACAAACACAGTGACTTGATGATGAATTTCAATTGAACACTTTGAATGTACTCATGAAAGGGGCAAACACGCAAGAAAAACGCTGTCACTGTTAAATGGTGTGTATCATCACTGAGTATTTTGTGCCTTGAAACACACAGTTAATTTACCTTATGAGAAAAGGAAACAAGTGACTTTCAGACAGACAAGCTCAGAAGAAACAGTCATAACAGCAGCATACTTGTGCAGCATAAGTTTATAAAGGAAAAAAAAATGTCAATAGCAAAAAAAATAAGCGGCAATAGCAGAAGCGGAAGGTTATTACACCAAGTTGTGTTAGCACGCCCACAAGCATACACACACACACACACACACAAACAACAAACAGCCATGTTTGGTCAGAAAATTAAAAAATTTTTATTATACACGCGGGACTTTTTAGAGCTTCTTCTTCATTATTCCTTACGTCGATGGTCACAAAGATTGTTTATGTACAGTGGATGGTCTCGATTGACGAGTAAGTTGACTACGAAGCACCTAGGTTGTTTTTATTGTACACAAATAGGTAATATTGATATAGGAAGATAAATAAGCGCATTAGAACAATGAGGAGAGCATGTTAACACATTATTTATATAAATGATAGATTATAACGAGTGAAAATTGTTTACACCTAAACGAATATCGATTCTTGAAGTGAAATATGGACGATAAAAGTCAAGCAGAAAAAAGATGGAGTACAATGATGATTCACTCCAATCGAAGTGATTGGCTGAAAATAACTTACAGAAGGTAAATCATGTGGGCGAAATCCTGTAACTGATTAAATCCCTGGAAACCGACACTTGAATATTAATCCGATGCTCACTAGCAACTGACCCTATTCATGTAGGGGCCCCATAACAAGAAAGTTCAAATTCCAGGTCAATAAAAATGATTAATAGAGATGTAAATCAACTACCAGTCACGCAGATGGTTTCCAGGAGACTCAAATGTGCTCATTTTATACTTAAACCTGCGCTGAAGATGTTGTCTAGAAGGGGGACGACGACGAAAGTTTCGCAAATAAATCAATCAGCTCAGAGAACACAGGTAATTCAAAATAAACATTTGCCTATCCCCTGTCAAGAACCTTTCATACTACTTCATAGTGATAAGCCGAAAATAGAACAGTTCATCACATAACTTATTACTATCTCGACAAGCGGCAGCAATAGATTCGTCAAGAGGTGATAGCAGATATAGAACCATACAATTCTGACTAAATAATGAGGTCAAACTAGAAGTAACGGGTTCAAATTAGTCACTATTACCTGCTTGAAAGTCAATTGCCTAAACGGATGATTCACAGTTATCTGAATTGAGCTGTGATGCTCGAAAAATGATTCAAGTTCAATATAGCCGTAGATAGATTTTTTAAAAACCTGAGGACAACATTCAATGCGAAATCAATTCATTTCCAATTTGACGTACAAAGAAATGATATCAACTTCTATGGTACAGGCGATCGAGGAAGTAAATCATGAAGAATGACAGTAAGTCTATTTTGAGGTAGGCACGACTATTATGAAGTAAGTAAACCCCATCACTATAGTGTAACGTGTTGATGTACATTGTTAGATAATCATACAAACGACTGCAGGGAAACATCTCTCCTCTCAATCATACACATAAAGGCTGGAAATAAATATGTGGTTAACCTAAACTTTAATAAGGATAATTGTAATTTTAAATTTTCACCTCACGAACAAGAGGGATTCATTATTTAGCTGATAAACATGCTACTCAAAATGTATTGAGTAGTATGAAGATATGATGGAGAAGATTTGTAGCTCAGGTGGATGATTTTGATGTAGTTGTGTTCTCTGAGCTGGATGGTTTATTTGCGAAGCTTTGCCGCCCTACTAGGCAACATCTTCAGCGCATACTTCAATCTGAGTAGTATGAATAAGATAACAGAAACTTAACACATCGGTCTTTGATTTCATTGTTGTGATTGATGTATCAGACAAATTTATACCTGATACTTCGAGATGACGTAGACGTTCCTTTTCTGCCCTTTAGTTTATTAACATTTTACTCCACATCTCTTAGCGTCAGTATCAGCTAGAGTAGGAATACAACCTTCTTCAGGGATAGCACCAACTTTTATAAGGATTTCACGTTCCCTTTTACGTAGACTACCATTTAAGTGACTTGACCTTCGTAAACATTTCCAACTCTTTCTCCGTTAGCAGGTGCCACTATTTCATTGCATAGACAAAATCCTACAATATCGTTTTGTTTTTCATATACTGGGAAATGCAAGAACTCTTATAGTAGTTAGGGTGGCCTTGGTTACGTCACAAAATAGAAGTAACTGGCTTACTTACTTACTAACTTGGAACAGTACTCAAAAATGTCATCAGTTCAAGTTGTTACATTTAGGAGAGGTACTTATTAAAGTGTAGAATAAAGGATAATTGGAAAAACTAAAATCAACTGGGAACATGAAAAATACTAGAGTTCCACAGGAATTCAAATGTAATATATTTAGGAAATATATATGCTGATCATTGTTGAGAAATATTCAGAAATACAGGAGTAGTGAATTCTCACATTAGTCAATGCAAATCTTTATAACATAGCTTCATGTTTCACTAATGATACAACTAGCATTGTCAGATTATAGCAATTCTTCTTAAGAGTACTAATCACTGTATGTATAAGTACAAATGCTAATCTTTTATATGATCAAATTTATACTTATTCTGCGATGCATAATCTACGTGTGAAATAGAAATTAGGCAATAAGAGGGAAGTAATTGCAAATCTAAACTGTTTTGTCATATCATCATAGATGTCCTTTGAAAGTGATGAACATCCTAATGAAGAAGTAAGAATAATGGTGAAAAGGAAAAAATATGTCTAAAAAGAATATAATAATTTAGAAATATGTTAAGTTTCTAACATTTTTAGTCTGTTCAACACTAGTACTGTTTGCTGAGAATGTTTAGATATAATTGAGAAGATTTGTAGATCAGGTGGATGATTTTGACGTAGTTGTGTTCTCTGAGCTGGATGACTGACTTGCGAAGCTTTTATTGCCCCACTAGGCAATATCTTTAGCGCATACTTCAGTTTGAAGTCAGCTTTAAAATTCTGCACAAGTTTATCAGTCAGCGTGATTGATTCCTCTTGTCTCTCTTAACACACTAGTCTATTTGTATCGACACTGATTGTTTCCTTGAATTGGAATCAATACCAATACAAATAGACTAGTGTTGGAAGACAGACAAGAGGAATCAATCACGTTCAAGGTCATCAGGAGAGATGACTGATAAACTCGTGCAGAATTTTAAGGCTCACTTCACACTGAAATATGCCCTGAGAATGTTATCTAGCGGGGCAATGAAGGCTTCGCAAGTCAACCATCCACCCCGGAGAACACAACTACATCAAAAACTCTGAATGTTTTACTTATGCATCGTGTAAGCCATTCTGAGCATCACGTGAAGAGAAAAAATTTACTGCCACTTTCATACCATCTAAGACTGATTGAATGAGCCTCTATAGATCTCAGTTTCTCCCCCTCCAACAATAGGTGCTGATCTTCACTGTTTAAGTCGACTGATTAGGCTGAAGATGAGCCAGCAGGCATCCACGCCAATTTGTCACGCTGTCGTATTACATCTTTGATTGTTGAAGCACACATTCTAACTGGTTAAGCTAAGCAGACATCACCGCTTTACACTTCTAGGCCTAAAATATATTTCGTAGTTTGGACAATCAATTTACTCTTTTAATTTGGTGTACGAATAGTTCTTTGGTCTTTGAGAATTGAAGGATATACACTTACATTCTTCATCTTCTAAAACCATAACAGGACTGGTCACTGGTCACTTTATCACTGGTGGTCAAACAAAAACATGGCTTCACCAGTCAATGAAATCTACAACAGTTAGTCTAAGCCATGTAGGAAGGTGTAGACTCCCTGGTTGGGGTCCTCGGGACGGTAAAAACCAATGGCTGGAAACAATTGGTGACATGACTCAAAATTGTTCTCAATGGCTGGCGCAGATGCATCCACTCCTTGTGACTTATGATTTCTAATGAGACTGTTTTGTTCTTCGCTATTACTATACCTTTGTCTCACACCTCTGTTTACTATCTATGTTATGCATTTCTCCTACTTTCTTCTCTTGCTTTGTGTGCTACATGGAGTGTGACGACTTGAACTGCCGCACATACGTGCAAAGATCTATGTCGAAAACCGACCGACCGAGTTTATGATTCTGGTTTTCAATAACTGCTGATTTATTTCCAGTAAGTCAATGTCTTTTAACTTGTCATAAATGGTACACTTATTCAGTGATATAAACTTCTTCCATAGGTTTATCACCACAGTTTTCAGAAGCGGATTAGTGAAATACGAAGCGAAAGAGTAGAATAAGGCATTCATCGGGTTGTTTTTGACCTCATTTAACAGCCCTAACTGACAGTTTGTCATTTCTTAAGTTTAACCGAAACTTAATTCACTTTATAATATTATACAACAATCGATAACCACAATAGTGATATGTAGAAATCTGCACAGAAGTGCACCACTTCAGATTTTCACACATTGGGAGAAGTATACAAAATAGGAATACGGAAACAGTTATACTACAAAGAGAAAATATGAATGGAAGAGAGAGAGAGAGTGATAGGATGAAGGATTAGTAAACGACTTTATTATGCCATATCATCGATTGTAGAATGCTGATTATATTCAAAAATACTGTCTCTAGGGTGATTTTCGTAGTAGAGAAAACAAATGATGAATTCACCTGACTGGGTAAGCCACGTAGGAAGGTGTAGACTTCCTGGTTGGGGTCCTCAGGACTGTAAAAACTAATGACGGCTGAAGACAATTGGTGATATGGCTCAAAATCGACGTTGTCAATGGCTAGCGCAGATGCATCCACTCCTTGTGACTTATAATATCCAATAAAACTCTATTGTTCTTCCATATTACTATTCTTTTGGCTCATATCTCTGTTTATCATCGCTGTTTCGAATCTCTTTTTACTTTCTTCTTCTTTTCTGGCTTTGTGTGCTAAGTGAAGTGTGGCAACTCGAACTGCTGCACATCTCTGCAAAGTTCTACGTTGAAACTAGTCAGTCAGTCAGTCAGACTACTGGGTGAGAGTGGGGCAATGATTAGACATCTCTTGGAAGTGATCAACACTTTCATAAATTCTACCTTACAATAATAGGAAGCGGAACTTGTCAAAAAGCAGTCCAAATAGGTTTACATATCATTTAACCTGCGTAACTTTTTACTAGATCCTAATATATCCTTTGATGAAAAAGAAGAAAACTATTCCATAGTGACTTTATGAGGCTAATATTGAGATACACTTCTGTTGATTTCTATACTTGAATAGCAAGGTAAGGCTTGGCACGCACACACATACCCTCACTAACATTTTAATAATCCATAAACATATATAATCAAAACCAAAAAGAAATAAAAATGGAACATACATGTAAAAATTCTGCCATATCAACTTGTCCATTTTTATTAAGATCCATTGTATTCAAAGTGGACTGGAGTATCTCTTCACTGATTTGCTCACCAGATTCCTATAACATATAACAAGTAAAATAATTGTTGTTTAAAAATGTGATCAACACTTGAGATAAAATAAACAAAGTTTAATATATATTTAATTCAAACATGACACCGAGCACTTCGGTTCAATCAATCGATGGGAAAATCTAAATTTGCACGAGAAGTGGCTCTTGTGGCCCAAGTGGTCTAGTGGATAACATCACTTTGGCGTTTGAAACTGTGGCCACTGGGTTCGAGCCTCCGTGGGAACACCATCACTTACTGGAGAATGCAGGTACATCCGGATGACGAGTCCTAAATAGGGCGAAATGCGCGTTGGCCTGGATTCTACTGCTAGTCACCATCCACCAATTAATTTAAAGTTTAATATAACATGGAGATTACCAATGGTTGTCACAAAGTGGTTATTCATTCATTCTTTTCTCTCTAATATTCTGATAGGTATTTTCCACGATTTGTAAAAGTTCAAAGACCCCTCAACAGTGAAGGAACTCAATGGGTGTCCTGTATTATTCTATCAAACTTGCTGAAGAGAATGGAGAAGCTAACTTCTTGGAAGACTGCATTATAAATCATGAATATCCAAAGTGGTTTTGGAAAGCATTCCGGAGGCATTATATATATCCCAATTCAAAAGCTCTTCAACGCCACACATCAATGGTTTTATTAGTTCATGTATATTCGAACTGAGGCGAAAAGTATCACAAAGGTCCTCTGTTCTATGAGAATTATCATCAAGTGAAAGACAATTGTTTAATGAATACGTTGCTATTGGGGCAGGACAAACGAGCTAAGAATGTTCATTCAAACATGAACAAAAACCCCCATCAAAGTCCATAGAAGGCCTCCCAGTGATCGTAATAAATTTGTTTTCAATCACTCCCCGGTCAGTTTGTCGACATTACAACTAGAAGCATTTGGCATAGAAGTTGTGTGTAAATTACAACAGACTTCATACATTCATTTCGAGAATCTTACATAAGATGAGTCTAGTATATTAGCTATTTTTTTCAATTTGATTACTTAAAGTTATATGGTTTAACTACTGCATATTGTTTTCACTGTGTAACAGCTGCTGTTGACGTCATGATAGTCACTCACTCAGTCCGCTAGTGGTTGTCGTCTGGGTGATGGGAGTAGATTATCGACTTTCCAGTAAACAACTTAGATAGTTCACTTCCATTTCATCTACTCCCACACATTCCTAACACTTCTGTACCTTATCTTTGTACTTTGGTAATCTGAGTAGCCTTCCCACCTTCGAACATTCCACGTCCCCATGCTTATTTCTCCTTTCATAGAAAGAAGACACATCGGCTGACTGGCTTCCTAAAGGCTTTCATCAGTTCACATCTTTTCGTCGTTCCGATTCCAGCGAAGAATGTGTTCATATTTTTTTCTGTGGATCGATGTTTCTGCAGCAATTGGGTTGATTTTCCAGGATAGGGTGGATAGCGCCACGCCAAACCTTCCCTCTTTTATCTTCGCTTAGGATCAGCTAGTAAACTAGGCAAGCAGATGAATACGTGGTGAGAATACCTGAAATAGTATGATTAAAACTGACAGGATAATACTCCGCAATTAATAGTGTTCTCTGAGCTGGTTGGTTTAGTTGCGGAGCTTTCGTCGTCCTTCTGGACAACATCTTCAGCGCAATTTTTAGCATAAAGTGAACTGATTTGAATTTTCCATGAGTGATAGAATTGCGTCTCCCGGTAACCATCTTTACATATGTATTGATCATTTTCTATTGACTTGGATTTTAAACTTTCTGGTCACATGATTTACTTTTTATTAGTTGGTATATTTGGTCTATATTAACGTGTTTGTTAATTGCATATTCGTTTGAGTACCAGGCTTCTAGGAATTCCCTGGCACTTTTGGTGTTTCCTCTGTCTAAAATTTCGACATTATCCCAATCAAACTGATGTTCATAATTATCTATATGCATTGATATGAAAGAATATATATCATGTCTTTTCACGGCTGATTTGTGTTCTTGGATTCGGATTCGAAGGGGACGCCCACTTTGGCCGATGTAATGTCTGTTACAATTCATACGATTTATTTTGTAAATGGCATTAATTTTATCTCCTTTTTCTGTTGGATCTTTCAATTTGCACAATATCGAATTAAGCGATTTGGCTGGCTTGTGCGCTATATCTATTTTACTACTTCGCTTAGCAGCTAGTAAGGTAATAAATAGATAGTGACGTATGATTCACTTATATGACTCGTGTACATTACAGTGCCTAATTCAACTGGTAGATTGACAGACTAGTAGTTCTGAGATCTGTGGTTCGGATTCAGCCATGACCCATATTTTTATTTCAACTACGTTTTCGTTTCGTTGCCTTCCTTTTTTTCTGAGTGGAACTTACGGCTTCAGACCCTGAGGTTCCATTCACTGTGGTAGTCCCACGTTCGAAGTTCCCTCTTTTTTATAGACTTACAACCGGCTAGTAAAGCAGGTGAGGTTTAGAAAGTGCGTTGGCTGGGAATCAAGCCAGAACCATCTACGCGGTCATCACCAATTATATCAATAACAATCTGTCAAACCAATGCTACCTCAGACAGACTCACTATCTTCAATATATGCCGAATTCAATGAAGGATGTTTTTGACCTACTTTCTAAATATGTATATATTAATATGCTGTAATTACATTTAGGTAGTAAAAATAGGTGTCCTATGAATCTACAGAAACGTGACAGCATGACCTAAAAGGCCATTGAATCTTATTTAAACAGACAGTTTCTTGTTCTTTCCTATATATGTGTGGTAATCGCTATTGTAATACTTTTTTTCTCCGCCTCCTCCTCTGAAACGATACCTACTTGTGATAAAGATGAATGTCAGTTGTTCATTTCAACAAAATTTTTAAACATTATTTTTAACAACAAAAAAAAAACAACCCGTAAAATATCAGCATAATGAGGACAATACTTACAGTACAAAATTTGCGTAAATCATTCAATGAAATATAACCTTTAGTATCATGATCAAGTTTACGAAAACTGTGCAGTAAATCGTCAATCTCATTAATAGTCAACTTCATACGAACACTATCCATTACGCGTAGATTAAGACCCATCTCTGCGTTTAGGAACTCCTGAAATAATGAAATATGTTTGAAATTAAAGGTTAAAAACAAAAACATGTGAAGAAAAAAAAGAAACTTCAAATTAAAATTTTTTTCAATACATTGACAATAACTTCAAACACATTTATTATAAACGGTCGAATTGTTGACTTTGTAAGTCAATGAATAGTAGATTTTTGAAGTTATAAACTATTCTGAGTTATAACATCACAACACATCTTCATTCAACCACTAGAACCCATTCAGTTTAGAAAATCCCTCCTAAATGATCTAATCAAAATATTTATACATATTTGGATGTTTCAATTAACTCTCTGTAATTATTATCCGTTTTTCTCCTAGACTGAGAAACAAGTCATGTATTGATCAAATCGCCACATTACGGATCATCATTGAACAAAGCTTGGAATGGCAGTCACCTCTCTATCTTAACTTCATCGACTTTGAAAAGGCCTTTGATAGCGTCGATAGAGAGGTGATTTGGAAACTACTACGCTACTATGGAGTGCCACCGACAATTATACATCTCATCCAACAGCTGTACGACAATGCTGCATGCCAAGTAATCCACAACGGGAAACTTACGGAATCTTTCGAAGTGAGGACAGGAGTAAGACAAGCTGGCTGCCTACTATCGCCAATGATTTTCCTGATTGCAGTAGACTGGATAATGCGACAAACAGTGGGCAATGAGGAAACAGGCATAAAATGGACTCACACAAAACACTTGGAGGATCTGGACTTCGTCGATGATATATGTCTGATTTCCCACAAACTGGAAGATATGCAAGCGAAAAGCAACAAGTTGGCAGAAGAAGCATCAAAGATAGGACTTCAGGTGAACATAGAGAAAACAGAGGTAATGAAGATTCCTGGGCAACACCATCAACAGCAACAACAACAACAGACAACAATCAGCATAAATGGAAGGAACCTGAAAGAAACAACCTCCTTTACCACCTACCTACCTGGGAAGCATCGTTTCAACTACAGACGGAACTGACGAGGATATCAAAGCAAGAATCGGAAAAGCAAGACAAGCTTCCACTACTCTCAAGTCTGTGTGGAGGTCAACAGCACTCAGCATCAAAAATAAGATCCGGATTTTCAACTCCAATGTGAAGTCAGTGCTACTTGCTATACGGATCAGAGACTTGCACTGCGCGTCATAAAGAGCATCTCAAACAAACTACAGACCTTCATTAACAGTTGTCTTCGCTCAATACTCAAGATCAGATGGCCAGAAAAGATCAGCAAAGCAGGGATCTCTGGGAGCGAACCAACACAGCAGGAACCGATTGTGAAACAAATAGGCAGGAAGAAATGGAGATGGATTGGCTAGCCATACTCTGAGGAAACCATCAAGTGACATCACTAGACAAGCCATTGCTCGAGTGGAACCCGAAAGGGAAGCGGCGAGTTGATCGTCAGTGCGAGGGTGACTTGGAGGAGGTCATGTGAAGAGGAGATGAAAGCGTGTGGGCAGACTTGGAGCCAGGTGAAAACTCTAGCAGAGAACCGAACGCAATGGAGACGCACGGCTGAAGCCCTATGTTCCTCTAGGAATTAAAGGAAACAATAATAATAATTTCTCCTAGACTACATATCATTCTTCTGACATTTGTATATCATATGTTGACCTGATCCTTATTATTTCGTCTGTCCCTGTTAAATCTCTATTTTTATAATTCTCTTTTTGGATACGCGATACATTGGTAATGTACTGTTGTACGCCGTGATTTTGTTTGAGCAAGGCAAGGTCATTCTGACAGTGGATTGTCTGAGGGGATTGTTGGTGCGTGATTCATGCAGATAGAGTTTTTGATCCCACCTTGTTAGGAACATTCAACTTGGTTCCAAGGTACTTCTTACAGTTGGACTTAGAAAGTTACCCTGTCTCTGTAGCTGCCTGACAGCGCTATTGAGGTAATTTTGAGTTTTTGATGCTATTATTATTGCTGTTGAATAGAACCATAGATCTATCGACGAATAAACGTTCTTTTGATATCTTTGGAGCGTTTTGTGACTGTGAATGTCTCAAGGAAGTTTCGGCTAGCTATACAGTAGAACGCAAAGATCGGTTCCCTGAGTCCAGACCCCAACAAGTCAGTTGTGATAGTTTCACACTTTCCTGCACGCCATTACTTAGAAATATCAGGATAAATGAAAACAAAGGCAAATGTACTGAATATTTTAGTAGAAGCTCATGTTCAGTAATTATACCAATGTAACGTTAGGTAATATATCAAGTTCCAATTTCTCACATGACAGTGAAATATTTACCAACAGAAACTTCAGCTTAGACAACAACTCATTAGAGCATAAACACCCCGAAGTTACAAACAGTCTCTATATTTTACAAGGTATAGTTTAAAAGCTTACAGTCGCTGTTATCTAGAAAGACTGATTACAGGTCGTGTATTTGTAAGAAAGAACAGTGCTTAATACAATTACAATACTCCCTATCGTATTGACACTGGTACCAAGCATACATCCATTCTAAAACCAATTATAATAGCTTCCGTTGATAAATTTTATCGAAAACATGTTAACGAGGTTAGAAATAAGTTCGTTCTTTTCAATTTACGAAATTATTTAAATAATTAGTGATAAACTTATATGACCCTTATCTGAAACTGTGGGTTAATTGTTTACCTCGAATGAAAAATATGCGGGCTTTTCACATGTAACCTTTATAGTCTTTGAATTTAAAACTGTATACTTTACTGATATATGTTTAAAACATGGACACTGTGGTAGTATATACTTTCATATTAGCTTGTTTATTAGATATATCGACACAGTGAAAGTTTTCTTTACTAAATGACGTTTCGAACACAATTTATTGTTCATAATCAAATCAATTATAATCATACAACTTCGAAACTTGATTTTTATAGTTTTCTTTATTCTTTCCTATTTGTCGTGGAAGTAGGATTGGTGAAATGTTTAAGTAATAGGGCACAAAAGCTAAGTAGTATCAAGGAAAATCTAAGAAAGGAAATGAGGCATATAAGAGAAGCTTTAGAACGTAACGATTGCCCTGATAAATGAATCAGGAAGTATGTAGGAAAGTGTAAAAATAAAATTAATAATAATAACAATAATGGCAGGAATACTGATAGCAATAATAATAATAATAGTAACAATGACGACATGCATGTCAAACATGCACAGGATAATGACAACACTAACAATAAAGAATTTAAATCATGAGTGGTACTTCCATACAAACAAGGAACCTCGGAAACCTTACGCAGAATTCTTAACAAGGCAGGAATAAAAGTGGCTGGCATTCAAACCCATGAACTCAATTAGAAAAAATCTTTGTCGGCTAAAGGATCTTGTGGAGCCTTTGAAACAAAACAATTTAGTTTATCTAGTACCCTGCTTGAATGATTGTCAGTTCAAATACATAGGTCAGAGTAGTGGAACAGGGTCAATCAGACTAGTGGAGCATAAAAACAGCAAAATCTAGATTAGTAGACACTAATAAGATAGGAAATCTGAAGAATAGTTCAGCTATAGCACTCACTACATGCAATTACACACAACCACACGATATGATGGATGAAATAAGATGACAGTTCTAAGGTCTAATATGGCAGGGTGGAGGGAGAGATTGATAACAGAAGCTTTGTTCATCGAATCAACTGAAAATACGTGTAATAGAAATTATTCAGCAACTATCTCGAACATCTGGGGAATTCTACTACCCATATGACGAATGGGAAGGAATAAAGAAAACTATAAAATGAAAGTTTCGAAGTTGTGTGGTTACAATTGATATGGTTATGAAGAATAAATTGTGTTCGAAACTTTGTCATCCAGTAAATAATGCTGTTTCACTGTGTGATATATATAATAAACAAACTAATATGGAACTATGTACTTTTATATTATTATTATTGTCCCCTTGGGTTCCTAGTAGAACAAAGGGCTTCAACTGCACATCTCCACTTGCTTCTGTCTTCTGCTGTACTTTTCACCTCGCCTAGATTACTAGCTCACTAGTTTTCTAGCCGGTTCCAAGCCCGGATAAAGAGGGAGGGTTGGGGCGTGGTGCTAGCAACTCCACCCCCAAAACTTAACAAACTTCAACGCATAAATATATTCAAAATTCTAAAAATATAAACTATGTACTTTACTAATGCATTATCAGTATACACACGTGTCATCAAAATAACTATGGTTATGAATTATTGGATTTGACAGATTAGATATAAGATCATGAAAAAGTGAACCCGGTCCGTCGCATATAACCCTTTATATAAAATTAGTCCACAGAACTGTACACTTATAGCGTACACCTTTTGATTAAGTTTAACAGAAAAAAAATTAGGCCTTGAGTGGTTCTGCACACATACACACACACACACACAAAGTGGCGAAGGTCCAACAGAATCATCTTATCAGTTAGCTATTTGGCGTTAATTCATGATAAGTGGTGAAGCCTCTTTCCTTGATCTGTTTCAAAATTTGAGTTTAAAATACTCTGGCGCTTATTTCTGTATAAACTATCGCAATAATGAAGACAGACAAATCAACATTAGATCCGTAATATGGAAATGAATTAAAATTTCTACACTTCAGAATGCAACACATATAAGAAAAATTAGACAGTTGGACTACAACAGTAAACAAAAATTGAATACGATAGGTGACAGAATAGTTAAATGAAGATAACTGGAAACATTCAGAATGTCAGAGACGCTGTTTTAAGTTATGCTGGGCAATAACACTACACTTCTTCAGCCATAGGAACTCAGACAGTCAATATACACTTTCCTACATATCAAAGATCAACCACTAAAGACTTATTTTTATAAGGATTTCATCATGAACTGACATAGGTTAGAGAACCATTGGAAAACCTAAAGGCAGTACTGGACAACCGTTTCATACTAATTTGGAACTCTTCAACAGTATTCAACACCCACTGAGTTTCGAACCCAGGACCTTCTAGTTATAAGGCCAGCGAGCTCGTAGACCATTAAAGCCACTACTGG